GGCATTGAATTCTGAATACTAAAGATGCTAAACTGGCAGATCACATACATATTGGTGGGGAACATTCTTAGAGCCTTAGAAGAAAAAATCTGTGGTAAGACAGAATTGAAAGTGGGAATTCTAGGTTGGTGAGCCTTTGGAAGACATTCAATCTATTGTGCCTAAAGATGAGTCCATATCAATCTTCCTCAGTCAGAGGGACATTTCCCTTCTAGGGCACAGAATTCCCTGTTCAGCTAAAGCCATCTTCAAGTAATTCCTTCTTTGACATTGTTGGAAACATCCTTAAAGCACCCAGAGTTGGCAGTCTTCCTACTGAAATCCTTTCTGTATTTTCTTGACTCCCAAGAAGAGTCATGCATTCATACCTTCAAATTATCATTAAAATACAATAATAAAATAAGGTATTCCATAGCTATCACGCATCCACATTTTACACCATAGACCTGATGTCATTTATCTAACTAGTTGCCTCTTGTTGAATATTAAAATTATTTGAAATGTTTTGCCAGAGGAAGACGTTGAGGCATCTTCCTCTATCCCTTTCTGCCTTAGTTTTTGAGACAGGGTCTCACACTGAACCCAAAGCTCACCCTTTTGGCTAGACTGGCTGACCAGGAAGGTCCCAGGATCTGCCTGACTCTATCTCCCAAGGTGTTATGAACATGCACGATCATGCCCAGGTTTTATATGGGTGCTGGGAATGCAAGCTCACATCCTCTTGCTTGTATAGCAAGCTCTCTTACCCACAGACCCAACTCCCTAACCCTTATGAGTATATCTTTGTAGATATTATCTTTATTTATTTTTTTGGTCTTTTAGAGACAGGGTCTCCCTGTAGTCCCAGCTTGCCTGGAACTCACTATATAGACCAGGCTGGCCTTGAACTCACAGATATCCACCTACCTCTGCCTCCTGAGTGGTAGGACTAAAGGTATGCGCCACCACGTCCGGCCTGGTATTACCTTTATTTTGATGCCTATGGATCTTCCAGTCCTAACACCCACCAAAATGGATGCATCTAAATCCTTTCAAACTGATTAAAATAAAATTTTGGAATTCCATGTCTTTCATAAACTAGAATTAAATAGTAATATTCTAAATGTAAAAAGCTTCTACATTATCAAACCCTGTATCTCTGTCATCATGATCTGTAATTAGCCCTTATTGGATAGATGTGAACTCCATATGGGTTAAAGCAATACATTCCATTAGAATTTCCAAGATGATGGAACTGTTTGTATTTGTTTTTTATTTTATGTGCATGAGTGTATTATTGCCTGTGTGTATGCATGTGTTCCCAAGTTGTGCAATGCCCATGGAGGTCAAAGAAGGCATCAGATCCCCCGGAACTGGAGTTATGGATGGTTGTTAGCTGCCATGTGGGTGCTGAGAACTGAAGCCGGGTCCTCTGCAAGAGCAGCCAGTGCTCTTAACCGCTGAACCATCTCTCTAGCCCCCAAAATGTCTATATTTGTGATGTGTAATATAATAGATTTTAGCCATTTGTGGTTATTGGACACTTGAAATGATTAGTGAGACAGAAGCTCATTAGCAATTCATTTTATTATAATTAACACCAATTTCCATTTGGTGCCTAACAATATTAAATAACAAAGCTTGAATTATTTGAAAAGGGATTGCTGCATTTTGAATGGACCAACCTATGTGAGAGACCTGCCCACTCACTCAGATCAACTTGAACCACATCTGGTCTGTTTCTGGTGGTAAAGGAGTCTGTTTCTCTGAACAGCTCTTCTTGCTCTCACTCAGGCGAGTCGGCCATATTAGAAAGGTTTCACAGAAGAAAGGTATAGGGATAGACTTGGGATAAGGTCATCTTGGGAAAAGTTCACTTTGAGGGGATACAATGGAGAGAAAGAAAGAACTGTGGGACTGGGTAACCACACACTTTCAGGTCGGTATCATTCACATGGGCTTTTCAGGGGCCACAAAATCTTTCACTAGGGGTTTAGTTAGAGTTACTGAAATCACAGTTCAGTTAGCTGATCCCTTTGTTGTGAGGCTTAATGACACCATCTTTTAAACGTGCAGTACATTCTATAACTATACCTTGTTCTCTCTCAAGATGAAAGTTCAAAGATCAGAGGACATTCAACTTCTTTTTATCAACTTGAACTAATTCATACAGAACGTAAAGAAATGAGTAATCAACCAACCAACCAACCAACCAACCAGAGTTTAAACTGGAATGTATACCACGATCCTCCCTGTGTATGAATCATTTTTATTACATTTATTGTATATATGTGCACCTGTGGAGGACAGGGGACAACTTGTGGGAGTTGGTTCTCTTCTTCCACCATGGTAGCCAAGGGGATTGAACTCAGGTCATCAGGCTTTGTCATCAGTCTTGGAAGCAATTGTCTTTACCTGTTGAGCCATCTCACTGGCCTCCTGTGATACCTTTATAAAACAAGAATTTCGGTTAAAGGGAAGATTGACAAGACACACACAACAATAAAAACACTCTTGGACTCTTGGTCAGGAACCTTGCAAGTGTTTTGCATGAATTATATCATTTCATCTTTATGGCACACTTGAGAATTGGGTATTCTTCATCTCTCTCACAGGGGGACAGACAAGACCTCTGAGGAGTTTGGAGTTACCCAGCATAAACATGTCAGCAGGCTGAGCTGGACTGAATCTCAACAGTGTATGAGCTCTCACTATGTATGAGCAGTCATTTAAGTCCCTGATAGAGAAGTAAGTGTATGTGCTGAGCTCAGTAGGGCTTAAGTAAGAGTTGAAGCACTGCTCACACACCTCCAGTGCTGTGCTAGTCTCTATCTGCCCTCGTTGAACACTCTCTGAATATAAGATCAGTGAGAGCACTCAGAGTGGCAAAGCCAACATTCTGTTTGAAAACTCTGGTGACACCAGACCTTGGACAAACCAGAATTCCTACATTTCAATTAAAGAATTATTTTATTATATTTATGTCTCTGTATGCGTGTGTGTGTGTGTGCACATGTGTATGTGGGTGCCATAGGAAGCTTGAAGAAGGTGTTGCATTCCTCAGAGCTAGAGTTACAGGCGGTTGTGAGCTATTGGAAATGGGTGCTGGAATCCAAACTCTGGTGCTCGTGACCAAGCAGCAAGCACTCTTAACTGCTGAGCCATCTCTCCAGCCCAGGTCCTATATTTTAAAAAATTCTTTGAAACAAAAGTCACCAAATTATGAACGCTATCTTTATTTTGGTGATGGAGCTACAGGGGACTCAATTTTATTTACCTTTTTGTAATTGTTTCATTAAATTATTAATATTAAATATTAAATGATTCTATTAATTTATTTCACCTCAGTAAAATAATAAAGATGATCCCCCTCCACCTTTTTAAAAGAGCAAACCCCCAGAGTCCAGAAAGAGTGATGTTATTGTGCAAGTTACTGGCAGCTTCTAATCTTTGCAGAATCTTTTCAGTGACCAAGTTCTTCTTTCTACAAGTCTTACATGAATTATCCTCACAATATCTAAGGCATGGATGTTCTCTTCATCTTTCACATGAGTGAGTTAACTGTCTCTGAGGTCCAGTGAACCAAGCAATAAGAGAGCGTGAAGCACCCAGGTTGACTTCCTGCTCAGGGCTCTGTCCACTGGAGGCTGGAATAGCCTGTTCCCTGGCAGAGCCCCAGATCTGAGTGTCCTGTGCTCCCCTTAGGACATGAATCTGCTTCTGGATGTTGCTCAGCATTGCAGAACTCACCCTGGACTGTACTCTGCCCCAGGGAATGAGGTCAAAGACAGAACTTGGAGGGGAAAAATGGAGGATGAGGCAATCTGACCATCAACAAGGCCTGCTGACCTTGTGAGAATATTGGTGCCCCTGGAGAAGGTTGGAAGAGGAAATCTCATACCAGGAATCAGACGAATTTCGTACTTACACAATGCTCTGGGGAACATGCCTCAGTTGTCAGACTTGAGGAGTCTTGAATTTCTCGTGTTTATTTCTAAAGAATAAAAATATTTTCAAATATATGCATACAATTTTACTCTTAGAGATGAAATTCTTACTTTCAGTTAATTCCATCACCGAAAGCTGACTATGAAGCTGAGTTTCTCCTGCAGCAAAGGAAGAATAACTAAGCGACAGCAGAGTTATCTTTTCGTACTTTTGTATTCCAGCATAGAGCCTTGAAAGATGTGGCGTTTATTTGCTAGTTGCCCTTTTTTTTTGTCTTTTTTGTTATGTCTTTTTTTTTTTCAGAGCTAGGGACTGAACCCAGGGCCTTGTGCTTGCTAGACAAGCACTCTACCACTGAGCTAAATCCCTGACCCCTATTTGCAAAGGCCAATGATTTGAGAGAGAAGAATCACTAAAGTTTACCGAATATTAATTAGGAAGCAAGCAATAGCTTACAGCTCGCTTGGAGTTCTTATTGGAGTCTCATTATTACTTTTATTTTTTAAAAAATATTTTTGATTTATTTTTATGTGAGTGTTTTGCCTGCATGTATGTAACTGCACCGGTGTCTTGCAAAGCCCATGGAGGCCAGAAGAGAGAGAGAGAGAGAGAGAGAGAGAGAGAGAGAGAGAGAGAGACTGAGACTAATTCATTTGAAGTCATTCAGCTAAGAAGTGGTAGAGCCAGGACTTGAGCTCAGGTGTTTGACTGTAACTCTGGGTCCACACTCAATCACTGTACATGGTACCATGTGATGGGCGTTTCCTCAGGGCTTGGAATATAGCAATGAGCAAGGCATTCAGGCCTCCCTCAAGAAGCTCATCAATTGAGTCTCCTGCTGTGGTTCTTTGATATTTCTTTTGGACCTTATAAGACAAGAACAAGCAGAATCTTCATTTGTTCGTGAGAAAAAAAAAAAAAAAGAAAGGGAAAAGAGTATTTTACTGAATGTGATAGACGTACTTGTACAACAGGAGCAGAGGCATCTCAGCACCCTAATGTCCCTTCTCTGTCTCAGAGTCCTTGTCTTTGGCAGACTCAGAGCTAGTGTTAATGCTTATGTAATCAGCCAATCAACCACACTTCTCCTCGTGATGACCTCCAGAGCCGAGGACACTGGGGGCCAATGGACGGTGTCTGGGGGAAGAAGGGGAAAACAAAATCAGAACAAAGCCTGAGTGTGGTGGCGCATGCCTTTAATCCCAGCACTCCGGAGACGGAGTCAGGCGGGTCTCTGTGAGATGGAGGCCAATCTGGTCTTCAGAGCGAGTTCTAGGACAGCTGGGGCTGCAGGGAGACCCTGTCTCAAAAAGCCCCGCCCCCCAAAAAGAAAAGAAGATGGGAAGAAAAAGAAGAGTCCTCACAGTCACTGGGAAGAAACTCTGCTGCTGGGCTCCCATCAGCAGCTCTGAAGCTGGGGCTGGGCGTGAAGAGACCCTTACTTTTTCCGCACCGGATTTTTGTTTTGTGTACAGACTATCCCACAGTAGGCTGCACAGCACTGAAGTTCGTGTGGACATTCCTCCTGGTTTGTACAGAATTTGGTGCAGTCATCAGGTTGTGATCTGCAGGGTGGAGGTTCCAAGATATACTCTGAAACAGAGAACAGGTTAGAGAATAGTCCAGAAACCAAGCAGGAGCAAAGCCCTGGGACCCTCATCTCTTTGTGTGGTCCCCTGGGAAGGGAATCAAGTTTTGTCCTTAGCTCCTGTCCTCCTCCAAGTTCTGTGGTGGGGAACTAGGGCCTGGGTATTTGATCAAATACCCTTTGGTAAAACCCTGAGCTCATTATCTATTCATGATCCTTGCATAACAGTTGCTACCTCCTCATAGAATTTGATGGGGTCCATTTCAAGAGTATGAATGGTGTGTTTGTATGTGTGTGGTAAGTAAGGATATTGAACACCTAATCTATATGGACTCATTATGTGGCCTTGAGGAAGTCTTACAGTTTCTCATTAACAATTTATCCTAGGGTCAACCAGACAGGCCATTTGTGTGTAGGAAGAAAAAGCAGAAGGTAAGTTTGGCATGATACGAACCCACGAAACCGAAGATGCTGAATCAGAAAGCAAGGATCCAATTCATAGTTAAGTTCCCAAAGTAACTTACTTTTACGTTGTGAAGGATGGGATTTCAGAATGGGATGCAAGTTTGGACTCTTTTTGTCCTCTCTGAAGCTCCAAAAACAGAACTGAGCCTCCCCAGAAACATAAGCTATTAGTCCTATCGTTCTGCTGAGCCCCAAATATTCTTAAGATGTGTCTCCCCCTCGAAGAGTACATACATGATAATATTCTCTTCCTCTTGGGCATTAGTTAAAAGCAAGCATTGTCAGGCTAATCTTGGCAGTGGTGGCTTCTGAGGCAGAGTCTAGTCTACACTGTCCCATGGATGCTAATTACTGGCAATTGGGCAGTACCTATAGATTTTAAATGTGAAATAAATGTATCACGTTTTCCTTACTCATTTGTTAGTTGAGGGACACTTAGGTTGCTTCATTTTCTTAGCTACTGTGAAAAAAATAGCAACAAACATGGACACAGGACTTGGAGCAATGGAGCTGGAACTGACCTGGAAGCCTCCTCTCCCAAGACTAGCTCTCATAGTTTTGGAGGACACTATGCAAGCTGCTCACAGAGAATATTAATCAGTGGTCCAGTCCCCAGCTTTGAGTCCTAATAACTGCAACAATGACCAGCACAACAAACTATATTGGTGCAGTAGTGGCATTTCTATCTTGGGGATAATCAACAGCTACCTAATTGGACTTAAAGCCACTCAATGGGAGGGAACTCATGTGTGGCACTGTAAACATAGCTAAATACACACGGCTGGAGAGGTCATAGATCTGTGAGAAAATCCTGTCTGTCACATCCCTAAACAAATGTAATTTCTTACTATGTGCTAAATATGGACCCTTATATTTACAGACAAGTATGCCAGTCACCACTCATCAAAGAAGCTTCTTTTGCAACAAATAGAGACTATTACAGAAATCTACACCTGATCACACACAGAGACTAAGTGTCCGTGAGATACCCAACCCCAAGTGACACATTTATAATGAAGTCTCTGTACCTAAGACTCACGGAACACAGTGGAACAGGGAGTGGAGAGAATACTAACGCATCTCTCAGCTCTCATCAGCAAAGCTTCCTCGTGTAACAGAGGGTGATGAATGCAAAGGGCCACAACTGGTCAAAGTGTAGCGAATAAGAGACTGCAGAATGTGGGTCTCTGGACAAGACTCCTACATGAAACTTTACCCACCCAGGGCCCAGGGCATTGCAGAAGAGGGGGTGGAAAGATTGTAAGAGCCAGGGGAGGAGGTGTGTGACCATAAGGAAACAGAGTCTTACAGGCTCCTGGAACCTTGCTCACATGAACTTACAGCGATGGTGACAGCATGCACAAAACCCATGTAAACTCAATCAGACAAAAATTAGCATAGAACTGGGAAAATGGGTAGGAGGTCACAACTTTGGTGAGGAACTATTGGGAAGCTGATCATTGTTGAGTGAGGGAGAGTTGATATTTAAGGGAGTGACACTAGACTGACTGAACAGGCTCCAGTGGATGAACTCACACTAAGGGACATATGTGCACACAAACTTGACCTGATAGCCCTTAACATATATGACAAAATTCATGAAGTCCCGTGGGTGGGATATGGGGGTTGCAGACAGGGAGGGGGGCCTAAATACGATTAAGATGTGTTGTATAAAATCCACAAAAATTCAATAAAATATATTAAAATGAAAAATGTGAAATAAAATGCAAGGCTTCCTTCCCCCTGTCCCCAAATACCTTCTAAGGCCAACGTCAGACTGACCCTTGATGTCTATCAACTTCATTTTCCTGTCTTTCTTTCTTTTTTTTTCCTTTCTTTCTTTCTTTCCTTCTTTCTTTCTTTCTTTCCTTCTTTCTTTCTTTCTTTCTTTCTTTCTTTCTTTCTTTCTTTCTTTCTTTTCTTTCTTTCTTTCTTTCTTTCTTTCTTTCTTTCTTTCTTTCTTTTTGGTCTACAGGAGATAGGGTCTCCCTGTAGCCTCAGGGGGCCTGGAACTTACAATGTAGACCAGGCGGGCCTCGAAGTCACAGAGATCCGCCTGCCTCTGCTTCCCAAGTACTCGGTTTCCTGTCTGTCTTACTGCTTGAAAAGAAGGACCAAGTGTCCATGATGGAACCAGGGACAGGAATGTCAATCAAGAGGATGAGGTTGACAACATTTACAATAACTAATACTTATGGAGCAGTTTCATGGACTGGAAAGAGTGCTCCATGTCTGCATGTTCCATGTCAGTGTCTCCTCCCAACTACCTCCACATCATTACATTACAAAGTTAAAAATGAGGCCCAAGACACTCTGCTCAGGGTTATGCAATAAGCGAGCAGCACAGAGGTTCAAATCTAGATTTTCTGACTACAAAGCTTGGACTCTTGAACTCGGCATTATGTTCTTCAAAAAATGTTCAGGATGTCTACCCTGAGCCACTCCCCTCTCCGCCAAAGCCTCTTTTTTCCTTCCCCTGGGCCCAGACCCAGCACCTACTCAGAAAGTACTGCTTGGGACTTCCAGATACCAGCTTTGGTACTAGGCTGAGCACCAGGAGGAACTGGAAAGGTGACACGGGTGCCATGGTGCCAGCAGGATGGGTGGTCATTCCTGGCTGAGGATGGTTGGGTTTGACCAGACACTTCTGTGAGAAGAGAGGGAGAGAGGCTCCAGTGGACATCTGCTGGGGCTGGGCCATCTCTGTGTGTTCCAATCAAGGAGGGCCTGGCAGAAACCCAAGCACTTGGAGCCATTCCCACTACAGGGGTGAGTCGTGTTTCCAGATCTTCTCCCCTTTCATCTTTTTTAAAAAATTTTTATTGGGCTTTTAAACTTTTATACATTTCCCACTCAAATCCAGATCCTCTCCCCCATCCATGCCTCGCCCATCCCCCACTGAACCCTATACACCCTGCCACACATGCTGAGTCCTATTCATTGAGGTGTTTGTAACCAAATGTCCTTCAGTGTAAATGCATTGACTGGAGTCTAGTCAGCCCATCCAGTGGTTGTATGTAAGTCATACTCTCCCTCACCCAGCAGCAATCAGTCTCAAATAGTTCTCAATCTAGTCCTGGCCTGCCACCTATTTCTCACCTCCCCTTTGGGGTCTTGTTTAATTGAACTGACATGGGTCCCATGCTTAATGCCACCAATGCCACAGGCACACATGAATAAGCCTCCAGTGGCCTGGAAGCCTCCACCTCCCCATGTTCACGAACCAGCCCTGGCTCTTACAATCTTTCCACCTCCTCTTCCACAATGGTCCCTGAGCTGTGGGTGGGTGACGTTCTATATAGGAGTCCCTCCCTACACTCTACAGTCTCTTATTCTCCAAAACTTGGCCAGTTATGGCCTTCTGTGTGCATTGCATTCTGGTATACATGGAAGCCTCACTGGTGAGAGTTGAGGTGTGCATTAGCCCTCTCTCTACCCCTTATTCTGCTATGTTCCATGAGGCTTAGTTGTAGAGATTCGACTGCAGATGTGTCACCTAGTACTGGGCATCTCCCAGGTGTATGTTCTCTGTGCCTGACCAGATGTGCAACTCTGCAGTGGCCTCCACCTGTTGCAAAAAGAAGCTTCTTCGATGAGTGCTGTATGGTACATTTGTCGTTCTAAGGGAGGTCTCTTCTATCTTGCACTGCGTTCCCTTCCAAGCAGCTCCCAGGTATACATATGCATTAATGTTCAGATGCTCTACATGCATTTCTCATAGGCTTTCTAGGGCATCGCTTTTCCCTCCAGGTTTCCTAGCCTCCAGAGATTCACTCATCTCCAGTTTTTTTCTCCCATCTGGCTTCCCTCCTCCTTCCCTCCCTTCCTCCCTAGTCACAGTGCCTCCATTAGCCCCACCGTCTCCCCAATACCTCCTGACTCCTGCCATCTTTTCTTTGCTGATTTCCCTCCCTCTCCCACACCAAGGTCCTTGCATGTCCCTCCCTCCTCTCCTCCCTGCCGATTACTCCACCTCCTTCAGGTGGCATCTGTTCCCTACTGTCCCCCTTTCAGGTTGTTTCTCTTCCTTTACCTCCATGTATCCTTTGCCTTTACCTGGCTCCTGGTGTTACATCGGAATTTATATACTCACATACAAGGGACCATCCACAAATGAGGGAGAACATACGTCACTTATTTTTCTGCGTTTGTGTTACTTCACTTAGTATAACACTCTCTAGTTCCATCCATTTACCTGAAAATTTCATAATTTCATCTTTTTTATTGCTCAGTAGAACTCCATTGAGTAGATGTACCACGTTTTCATTAACCATTTGTCAGTTGAGGGACATTTAGGTTGTTTCCATTTCTTAGCTATTGTGAAGACAGCAGCAACAAACATGGATGTACAGGTATCTCTACAGTATGATGAGTCCTTTGGGTATATGCCAAGGAGTGGGATCACTGGATAATATGGTAAGTTCATTTTTACTTTCTTGAGGGTTCTCCACACTGCTTTCCATAGCGGTTGCATGAGTTTCTGCAATCCCAATCAAAATATCCATGACATTCTTCACAGAGCTTGACAAAATCATCCTAAAATTCACATGGAATCACAAAAAAATCTGGATGGCCAAAACAACTTGGGCAAAAAGAAAAATGTTGGGGGGAATCACCATACCAGATCTCAGATTATATTACAGAGCTATAGTCATAAAAACAGCATGGTACTGGCACAAAAATAGACACATAGATCAATGGAACACAATAGAAGACCCAAACATGAGTTTATATAATTTCAGCCACCTGATATTCAACAAAGGTGCTAAGAACGCATAATGGAGGAAAGAGCATTTTCAACAAATGGTGCTGGTAAAACTGGATATCCACCTGCAGAAAATGAAACTTGACCCTTATCTTTCACCCTGCACAAAAGTCAATTCCAAATGGATCAAAGACCTCAATATAAAACCTGAAACTCAGAAACTGCTGGAAGAAAACAAAGGATGCATCCTCCAAGATATAGACATAGGAAAGGAAAGGACTTTCTAAATCAGACACCAGCTGCTCAGGTACTGATCGACAATCAGTAAGTGGGACCTCATTAAATCACAAAGTTTCTGTACAGCAAAAGAAACAACTAAGGAAGGGAAGAGGAAACCCACTGAGTGGGAGAAAATCTTCACCAGCTACACATCCAATAGAGGATTAATATCCAGAAGATACAAAGAACTCAAAAAAGAAAGAAATAAAAAAACAAACAACGCAATAAAAAGATGGGTAATAGACCTAAACAGAGTTCTCAAGCAAGGAAATAAAAATGATTAAGAAGCACCTTAAAAAGTGCTCAGCATCTTTAGCAATGAGAGAAATGCAGATAAAAATCACTTTAAGTTTCCATCTTACCCCCGTCAGATCAGCAAAGATCAAGAGAAAGAAAGACTCCAGATGCTGGAGAGGATGTGGAGAAAGAAAAATGCTCATTCACTGCTGGTGGGAATGCAAACTTGTGCATCCCTTTCATTACTTAATCTTGAACTTGTTTTCTTATCTATATTGGCCTTTGTGTGTGTGTGTGTGTGTGTGTGTGTGTGTGTGTGTGTTTGTGAGTGTGTATTTTACTGGGGATGGAATTGCTAGAATTGCCAGCACACTCTAACTGATCAGTAATCAATCAATCAATCAATGATCAAGTGAGCTATGCCTTCAAACCTATATAGTCTTGTTTCTGTTTTAAAAACACTTTATTATTTTTATGTGTATGAGTGTATTGCCTGCATGTGTGTAAGTGCACCTGTGTCATGCAATATCTGTGGAGGTCAGAAGAGGGTGTTGGGTTCCCTGGAACTGGAATTATAGACAGTTGTTAGCCCCCACGTGGGTGCTAGGAACCAAACCCAGGTCCTCTGCAAGAGAAGCAAGTGCTCTTAACCTCTGAGCCATTCCTCCAGTCCTATTATTTATGTTTTTCAAAAATTAAAAATATTTTTTCACTTTGGAAGTCTTTGTTTTAAAGTTTTGTTTTTATTTTCATTTATGCATGGTGTGTGTATGTGCATGTGTGTGCCGGTGCCCATAGAAGCCAGAAGATGGTGTCAGATCCCCTGGAGCTGGAGTTGAAGCCTGTTGTAAACTTCTTAATGTAGGTGCCAGGAGCCAAATTCAGGTACTCTGGAAGAACAGCAAGAGCTCTTAACTGCTGAGCCATCTCTCCAACCAACTCCTCCCCATTGAGACCTTATATATCTTTGCTGTATTTATTCCCAGCGGCTTGAGTTCTTAAAGAAAATCTGTAGAGCCGGGCGTGGTAGCACACGCCTTTAATCCCAGCACTTGGATATCTGTGAGTTTGAGGCCAGGCTGGTCTCCATAGTGAAATCAGGCCAGCTAGGGCTACAAGGAGACCCTGTCTCAAAAAGACTCCTCCCCAAAAAAGAAAATTTGTAAACAGTATCATAGTCATTTCCTTAAAAATTTATTTGTTTACTATTTTTATTTTATGTGTGTGAGTGTACTGCCTGTATGTCTATAAGTACACCCGTGTCATGCAATGCCCCTGGAGGCCAGAAGAAGGCATTAGATCCCCTGGTACTGGAGTTACGGATGGTTATTAGCTGGCATGTGGGTGCTGGGTATTGAACCTGGGTCATCTGCAAGAGCAGTCAGTGCTCTTAACTGTGGAACCATCTCTCCAGTCCCTAGTCATTTTTTGTTTGTTGCTAACGGGGGAGAAATGACTTACATCTTGGTCTGTAACTAATAGCCTTATTACCCTTTTGCTTTTGTTTTTGAGTATGTTCTTGTGGCTTGCTCCTTCAAACTTGATGCCCTTTAAAATTTTTGATTTCTTAATTTTATGTGTGTGTTTTGCCTGCATGTATGTAAGTGCACCATGTGCATGCAGAGCTTATAGAAGCCCGAAGATTGTGTCAGATCTACAGATAGTTGTTAGCTGCCATGTGGCTGCTGGGAACCAAACCTGGGTGCTCTGGAAGAGTAGCAAGTGCTCTTAACTGCTGAGCCATCTCCCACCCCTTGATAAGGAGAAATTTAAAGGAGAAGGAGTTTATTCTGGCTTGTAGTTAGAGGGGATGCTTCCTTTGTGGTGGGAAAGACGCAGCGGCAGGTGGGAAAGGCAGGGATATGGGAGCAGAAGGCCAGCTGGTCACATTGCTTCTGCATGCAGGAAGCCCAGCATGAACACAGAGTGGGGCTGTCTACAAAGCCTCAAGACCTGGCTCTATTGACCCACTTCCTTCAGCAAGGCTCCACCTCCTAAAGCTTCCACAACCTTTTCAAACAGCGCCACCAGCTGGAGATTAAGTGTTCAAGCACGTAAGCCTATAGAGGGCATTTCACATGCAAGCTACAATATTTTGCTGCTTTGATCAAGGAATTACAAATAAAAATGTTCATGGTGACATAGAATAGTAATAGCCTCAAACATTTATAAGCGGGATACGCTAAGTGATGTGTGATTGTGAAAATCCATGGGGGTTCTCTTGAGGAACAATGACATTATAAATACATGGTTAAGTAAAGATAGAGAAAACATGTAACAAAGTAGAAATAAGAAAGATTGTTCTTATTAAATATACGGATAAATTAAAAGATAATACAATAGATCCATGTTAACTCCACACAGAG